CAGGTCTGCGGACACCGGTGCCTACGCGAAGAGACGGTGCGGGTCGCCCGGATTCGGACCCTGACAACTCTCCTTTCCTCGTCCCAGTAGATGGGAGCTGCTCCCTGGGGCTGAGCTTGTCGCATCCTCCACCAGCCCTCGCCCCCGAAGTCAAGAGGAGAGCCCCTGCCCCCCGACACCTTGCCCCTTTTGGGGGTCGCCTCCATCTAGCCGGTCCTTAGCACTAGCGGCCGCGCAGTCCGACGAAGGAGCGGGACCATGCTACTGGCGTCGGTGCTGGGAGGTGGCCCCCGGGTGGGGCCGCCGCTCCGGCCCTTCCTCGGGCCTGCGCTCCTGCTCAGGGCCCTCTCCACATCAGCCACCGACACCCACCACGTGGAGATGGCGAGGGAGCGCTCCAAGACCGTCACCTCCTTTTACAACCAGTCCGCCATTGACGTGGCCGCAGAGAAGGTGCGCAGCTGGGGCAGCGAGGTCCGGGTCCCCAGGTGGAGTGGGTGTCCAGGGAAGGCGCGGGGCCGATGTGGGGGTGCAGTGTTGGAGGTCCAGTGCTCAAGCCCCATCTGCCCCTCCTCTAGCCCTCAGTCCGCCTCACTCCGACCATGATGCTCTATTCAGGCCGCTCTCAGGATGGCAGCCACCTTCTGGTAAGGTTCCTGCCCCTTATTTTTCTCTTGGTTCCTGGAGCTCTGGCCCAGCCACTCGGACCCCAGCCCTGCTTTCCCTCCTTTTTTTTTCTACTAGAAAAGTGCCCGGTACTTGCAGCAAGAGTTGCCAGTGAGGATCGCTCACCGCATCAAGGGCTTCCGCAGCCTTCCTTTCATCATTGGCTGCAACCCCACCATCCTGCACGTGGTAAGGTGGCCTCTAGGGAGCATGGGTTTCCCCAGTCGAGGGGGGTCTGAGATCAGTGTGCCCACCACCCAAGGGGTAAATGGGGAGATGGGACCAGAGAGGCAAAGATTTGCCAGCCATAAGGTTTCAGGGTCGCAGAGGACTCAGACCCCAGCCTTCAGAAGCCAAGGCTGCATGTTCATGGAGGCTTGAAAGGCCATGATGGGGGTTCGAACCTCTTGAATTGGGGTGATGGCATAGGAAGTTGTTCTCTACCCAGTGCCCACAGCATCCTTGTGAATTCCGACACTTTTTCCTTGCAGCACGAGCTGTACATCCGTGCCTTCCAGAAGCTGACAGACTTCCCTCCGGTGAGGGCTGGGCCTGGGCAGGGTGAGGGGTTGAGAGGTCAGGGCTGGACCATCCATCCTCATGCCTCTGTGGCCTGCAGATCAAGGACCAGACAGAGGAAGCCCAATACTGCCAGCTGGTGCGTCAGCTGCTGGACGACCACAAAGATGTGGTGACCCTCTTAGCTGAGGGCCTACGTGAGAGCCGGAAGCACATAGAGGTCAGGGGCAGCACAGTGGTGGCCTGTTGGGGGGCCTGGGGAGGGCACAGCATTATTGAGGCCCCGCTGTTTACAGGATGAGAAGCTTGTTCGCTACTTCTTGGACAAGACACTGACGTCCAGGCTTGGGATCCGCATGTTGGCTACACATCACCTGGCGCTGCATGAGGACAAGGTGGGGCGCTGGGACCTGAGGCCCACCTGGGAATGTCAAGCGAGGCAGAGGGGACTAAGCCAGGGGCCCCCTTGGACTGGGGACCTGGGCCGAGCACCTGGGGAGGGGCTTGGGGCTACTTCAGCAGTCCAGGGGTTGCAAGCATTTGGTGGCCAAGGTGCAGGTCAGCTGCTAGTCCTGACCTTCTTTCTCCTGACAGCCTGACTTTGTCGGCATCATTTGCACTCGCCTCTCGCCAAAGAAGATTATTGAAAAGTGGGTGGACTTTGCCAGGTGAGGCTAGAGCAGCTGAAGCGGGGATGGGGGTGGGTGGTAGGGTCTTTGGGCAGGGAAGCTTGGGTCTGAGCCCTTGCCTGGGGCATGGTCTACGGCAGGGTTTCTCAACTGGCACTATCAGCATTTTGGGTCAGACAATTCTGTTTTGTGAGGGGCTGTCCTGTGCTTGTTAGGATGTTTAGAAGGATCCTTGGCCTCTACTCACTTGACGTTAGCAGTACTTCCCAGTTGTAACAAACAGAAATGTCTTTAGAAATTGCAAAGTTTCCCTGGGGGGCATGGAAGAAAAAGCATCTCCAGTTGAGAACCACTGGTCTAGGTCTGAACTCTTGCTCCTACACACAGACGCCTGTGTGAGCACAAGTACGGCAATGCCCCCCGCGTCCGCATCAACGGACATGTGGCTGCTCGATTCCCCTTCATCCCTATGCCCCTGGACTACATCCTGCCGGAGCTGCTCAAGAATGCCATGAGGTGGGCTGGCTGGTATGTTGAAAGACGACAGATGGGGACTGGGGTGAGGCTGGGATACCAACACCCACTACGGTCTTTCCCCCTGTATAGAGCCACGATGGAGAGCCACCTAGACACTCCCTACAACGTCCCAGATGTGGTTATCACGATCGCCAACAACGATATTGATCTCGTCATCAGGTTTGCCCTGAGTGGGTGGACAGAGGTTGTTCCGACACTGTTTTTGACTTGCTGTATGAGCTCAAACCAGTACCTGCCCCACTCTGAGACTTGGTCCCGGGTCACACAAGATACTCTGGTCCTGAGATTGCCATGAGCTGGATAAGAACGAGTCCGGGGCCAGGTGCAGGCCCTAGGGCAAGCACGTCAAACTCAAAGGCTAACCGGACCTTGAAGTAAACAAGGCATGCGGGCGAGTTTGACATTAGCAACTAGGGCCCTAGGGCAGTGACGGTGAACCTTTTGAGCTCGGCCTGTCAGCATTTTGAAAAACCCTAACTTAACTCTGGTGCCGTGTCACATATAGAAATTTTTTGATATTTGCAACCATAGTAAAACAAAGACTTATATTTTTGATATTTATTTTATGTATTTAAATGCCATTTAACAAAGAAAAATCAACCACAAAAATGAGTTCGTGTGTCACCTCTGACACGTGTGTCACAGTTCGCCATCACTGCCCTAGGGCCTTGTCTTCCTTAGCAACTGAGGGGCCTAGAATGGGGGAGGAGTCGGGAGTAAACACTGGGACACTGGGCTGAGAAAGTCAAATCCTGTGAGAAGGTATAAGCAGTCAGTGGCCCAGGCAGAGGCGAGGATAGAGAAACGAAGCTTATAAAAAACAAGGCCTAAGGCTCTAGGTGGACGTTCCACCTTTGGCTAAAAGGGACAAGACGGCACTGTCTGCATGGGAGGTAGTGAGCCCCCCGCCAAGCTGAGGCAAGCTCCTATTATCCACATCCTGCCAGGATTTCAGACCGGGGCGGGGGAATCGCTCACAAGGACCTGGACCGGGTTATGGACTACCACTTCACGACAGCTGAGTCCAGCACCCAGGACCCCCGGATCAACCCACTCTTCGGTCACCTGGACATGCACAGTGGTGTCCAGTCAGGACCCATGCATGGGTGAGCCCCCGCTTGGCCATGATGGAGGGGTGCGGGGGCCCTGGAGACTCAAGCCTCTGAAGCTCCTGTCCTGTCCCCTCCCTTCTCCCCAGCTTTGGCTTCGGGCTGCCCACATCCCGGGCTTACGCGGAGTACCTTGGTGGTTCCCTTCGGCTGCAGTCCCTGCAGGGCATTGGCACGGATGTCTATCTGCGGCTCCGTCACATTGATGGTCGGGAGGAAAGCTTCCGCATCTGACCCTACAGCCCTTGGCCTGCCCGCCTGCCGAGCCTGGGCCACACACCCTGCCAGGACCTTCTGGGCCAGACAGGGTGCCACTGTGCTCCACACCCTGCTGCATCTTGGGTCTTACGATGCCAAGCAGATGGACTTATATGGAGCCGGACACCACCCCTCCTCAACAGGGTCCACTGTTTCCCTGCCTCCAGCCCTTGGAGGGGAGGAAGTGGGGACCCCAGCACTGGCTTCATCTTTCTTGTTCCTGGGGAACCCCATTTTGACCTGCTGTTATTAAAGTTCACATTTTGAATGCCCTCTTGGGCCCCATGTGGGGAGGGCAGGTGAGCTTGTTTCTGATCCCATTCAGGTTCCCTGGGCCCTTGGGTTCAACCTAGTTCATGTCCAGGCACTTAACTGTCCAGACAGAATTTTCCCCAAGTCTCTTGCACTTTGACTTGGTGGGAGTGAGAGTGACTGACAGTTTGTACAAAGACCTTTCATTCATTTCATTTAACAAATGTTTCTGCTTCTCAGACAATATCGAAGGCCCAGGCTGGCCCAGCTTCAGGCTTCATTTCTGACTCTTGCCTTCCTGGCAGTCACAGGTTCTGGAGATGAAGGTCACCAGACTGGGCAACCTCCTGAGCCACCTGATTCCTGAGCCCAAGTAAGGTTAAAAATACCGTCCACCACCTGTGCCTGTTGCTGCCAAGGACAGGAACACACAAGATTGTGCCCTGGCAGGCTCCAGAGGACCATGGGGCCCTGGTAGGGAGATTGAAAGGAACGGGTCCCATAGAGCAGGTGGGTCTCCCTGCCCATCTTGCCAGGGAAGGAGAAAGGCTTGTGGGACTGCTGATGGAGGCGGGGAATGGAGCGGGCACAGGAAACCAGTGACTTGCCAGGCTGAAAGTCTGCTGGCTGCAGTGCAGGGGGTGAGGCTGGAGAGGCAGGCGGCAGCAGTCAGCTGCAAGACTCTACTATACAGCAGGGGTGGGGAATGTCTGGCATGGGCCGTATAAAGCCCACAAAATCATTTGGTCGGGCCCTGCCAAGGCATTAGGGGTGAGTTAATTAAATGTCTGAGCAAATATAGCAGGCTAATTTAATATATATATATATATATTTTTATTGATTTCAGAAAGGAAAGGAGAGGGAGAGAGAGATAGAAACATTAATGAGAGAGAATCATCAATCGGCTGCCTCTTGCAGGCCCTACACTGGGAATCAAGCTGGAACCTGGCATGTGCCCTGACTGGGAATCGAACTGTGACCTCCTGGTTCAGAGGTGGACACTTAACCACTGAGCCACACTGGCCGGGTGCAGGCTAATTTTTAAGTTGATAATTTTGTATGGCCCACTAATGATGTTAAGTGTATCCAAATGGCTCTTGGAAGAAAAAGGTTCCCCACCTGTCCTGTCTAGCTAAGCAGGGGTCCATGGGTGTGTTTTAAGCTAGGAAAGTATGTATCATCAGGTTGGATTCCCTAGAAGCAGAACCTGAGAAGATTTGCATCCAGGTGATTTGTTGAGAAAACACTCCCAGAAGGGAGTCGGGAAGCATGAAAGGGAAGAAGAGCAGGAGGCCAGGAAAGGATGTGATCTCAGGTAAAAGTCCAGAGCCAGTAAGTTGTGCCAGAGTTGGAGGCAAGAGAGCTAAGCCCCACAGACACTGGTTAATGTCTGCCGGGAGGTACCTGAAACAGTCCTCAGCAAGTTCAGGCAAAGCTCTTCCCTTAGCCAGAGGGGCATCTGTCAAATAAGAACCTCTGGTGCTGTAGTTTGAAAACACAGCATTTAGCTGGCACACGTAAGCAACAGAGGCGCCAGGGGATCTGGGCGGAACTTCTGTATAGGTTTTGGAGAAAAATCAGATTTGCACATTAGAAGAACCACTGGTGGTTGGTGGATAGGAGGGAGAACAGTGAGGAGGTGGGTGGAGTGACCCTGATCAGGGATTTACAAAGCTTATGGTAATCATTAACTAAAGGGATAGCATCCCTAATTGAAGATGTCAGGTGAAGTCAAAAGTGAGGCACCAGAACCCTGCGTAGATAGAATAACTATGTTGAAGATGGGGGAGTGAGAGAAGATGTTACGATTTTAATTTTTTATTTCCTTTCTCCTGTTTCTTTTTTTAAAATGCTGCCAGACACCTGGCATTCATTGCCCTCCCCCAAACTCCATTTCCCTAAAGCGCAGTTACCAGCATTTACACTGCCAACCCCCACAAATACCTAACTCAGATATTTCTTGATCTGTAACCTGAGTCCCATTCTCTGGCCCTGAGCATGTCACCACTCTTAGAATTGTTTCCAAGTCCAACAGCCAAATTATAAGTCGAAGATTCAGAGAGTGGCCAAGAGGAATGTTTATTGAGCACCTACCCTGCCTGGCATTGTGCAGTGCACTTACTTTATACATATGAGAGGTAGATGAATACATGGTTTAACCTCTATTTAGTTATATGGTTTGAACAGTTATATATAGTTTAATCCTTAAACACTCTGCACAACTTACCCGGAGGAGGGTCAGAACCCAGGAATCCTCGCTAAGCCCACCACCTCCATTATGCCCACTGCCTCTGCTGGTTTCTGTTCCGGGGACGTCTGGTTTGGGGGGCCTGACCCTTCCTTTGGAAAGGCTGGATTCTGAGGGGTTTATTGGCGGCCCCGGGAGACACCTCCAGCTCCCCCACCCCTGTATCCTGCTTCCATCCTGAACAAGCAAGGCCGTTTCTTCCATCTGCAAAAAGGGGTGAGCGGTCTAAGGCAGGCGGAAGCGGCGGCGCAGGAGTGGGTGTCAGGCCTCCAGCCAACTCGGGCCGCGGGGACAGCGAGAACAGCGCCCCCTGCGAGCCGGCGCGGCGCGGCTTCCTCGGCGCAGGGCCTTGAAGAAGCTCGGCTGACTCATCACCCGGGGAGGCCTCCGCGGCCAGGCGCAGCCACCCCAGCAGCCGGAAGGCAGGAACTCCCGGGTGAGCGGCAGCGCGTCCCGGCCGAGACGCCAGCGGACCAATGAGCTGCCGCCACGTCACAGACTCCGCCCCCGCCGCGCGCCGCCCCGGAGCCGCGGCGCGGGCATCTGGCGTCATTTCCACCTCAGCGATGGCGGCCCCGGGGGCCGCTGCAGCGGTTGCGGCCGCGACTTCAGGGGTCGCGGGGGAGGGCGAGCCCGGGCCCGGGGAGAATGCGGCGGTTGAGGGGGCCGCCCCATCCCCGGGCCGCCTCTCTCCGCCGACCCCGGCGCGCGGCGAGCCGGAAGTCACCGTGGAGATCGGAGAGACTTACCTGTGCCGGCGGCCGGACAGCACCTGGCGTGAGGGCGGAGTCCAGGGCCCGGGGCGGTGTGGGCGGGGCGGGGCGGGGCGGGGCCGGGGTGGTTCTCGGAAGGGCTGGGCGTGGGCGGGGCGGGCCGGGGGAGAGGAACGCGGAGTTTCGGGCCCTCCTCCGAACCCCACCGGTGAGGCCACCACCAAGTTCTGTGTCTAGGGAGCGCCCACCCTGCTTCCTCGCCTGACCTTAGGCTTCATCCCCGTCTCTTAACCTCGCTTCCTCACGGTCTCCGGTCTGCGACTTCCCGGGCCACCTGTCCCCTAGAGCCACCAGCGGAGAGGACCTCCGACCTCAGAACCGACCTCCTCCCCGCCCCGTCCTTCATCATTCCGTTGAATGGCCTGCATCTTTGCGTCCTCTGGCTTCTAGCCACCCCTAGCAGAGGTCATTGCCAGACCAGCCCACACTGTACCCTTTGAAGACCTTTTGCCTCCTGTTCCCTCTGCTTGGAATGCCCTTCCCTTTCTCCTTGCGCACCTGCCCAGCTCCTACTCATCCTCTTAACACCATATCCCCCTGTGATACTATTCCTGGCTCCCTCCAGGCAAAGTGAGTCATTCCCTTCTGTGTGTGCCTGCCACGTTCATACCTCAGCCACCGCATGTGTCACATTGTTGTCATTTTCTGTGGGTACCCACCCCATCACAGTGGGAACCTCTGGAGGGCAGGCTGCTTGTGATTCATTGCCATGTCCTCAGTATCTAGCAACAACAAAGCAGAGGGCCAGACACGCAGTGGTTGCCTTCCTCATTTCCTGAATGGTCTGCTAGTTGTCAGTCACTATACTTAAAGCTTTAGAGCCATTAACTCACCCTCTGAGGTGAGCACTATTATCTCTGTTCTACAGATTAAGAAATGAGGCTCAGAAAGTTAAAATAACTTGCTCAGTTAATACAGCAGAGAAATGGGGAGCTGGGATTATATATAAACCCAGTCTGTCTGACTCCAGAGCCAGCCCTCATGACCTCTGAATAACAGCTGTATATAGTAAACCAAGCATTGCATTTGGAGTCAGGCGTAAGCCCAGTTAAGTATTAGCTCTTACCACTTTTCAAATCTGAGCCTGGGTAAGCCTCAGTTTTCTCAAATGCAAAATAAGAATAACAGTCCTGACCTGGTATACCTCACAGGCAGCGATTGAATCGAATGGCAGATGCGGACAGGTGAGGTTAGCTTCCATGTGAAGCTGGAAACAGCTTCTCAGTGTCCGGGCTCTGCCTTTCTGATGACACTAGCTTTTCTCCTTCCCAGATTCCGCTGAAGTGATCCAGTCTCGAGTGAATGACCAGGAGGGCCGAGAGGAATTCTATGTGCACTATGTGGGCTGTGAGTGACCTGGGGTATCAGGGCCTGGGAGCGGGGAGAGGCTGGGAGGACAGCACCCTCATGGCGCATCCTCACAGTTAACCGGCGACTAGACGAATGGGTAGACAAGAACCGGCTGGCACTGACCAAGACGGTGAAGGACGCCGTGCAGAAGAACTCGGAGAAGTACCTGAGCGAGCTGGCCGAGCAGCCTGAACGCAAGATCACTCGCAACCAAAAGCGCAAGCACGACGAGATCAACCATGTCCAGAAGGTCCGGGCTCTCCCCTCCCCCAGGGCCCCAGAGGCTCCGCTGCCTCTGCCACCTCCTTTGGGTGCCAGTTCCAAAACCGCAACAGCTCCCATTTCTTAAGCTCCTACAGTGTGTCGGAGACTTCCCTGTCTCTTCTCATGTGCTCTTCCCAGATGAGAAAACAGGTTCCGAGAGGGCAGGGCATGGCTACAGTCTCACAGCTAGCAAATGGCACAGCTGGGACTGGAATTCAGGCTTCCTGCACAGATAGTGTATTTTATCGTTTATTGTTCCACATTAGACAAACCAACTTGAAGTCCAAAGGGAAGGAAAAGAATGAATGATATTGGGCACTTGCTATTGCCCAGAACTCTGCCGAGTACTCTATGTGTATAAACTTATCAACGCTTCCTTAACAGTTCAATACCACAGGTGTGTGTGTGTGTGTGTGTGTGTGTGTGTGTGTGTATACACGCTAGAGGCCAGGTGCACGAAATTTGTACACAGGTAGCGTTCCCTAGGCTAGGCCAGCGATCAGGGCAGTGGGGGCCTCCTTCCTTCCCTGGCTGGCTGGGGCCTTTCTTCACTCTGCACTGCCCCCTGGTGGTCAGCGCACATCATAGTGAGTGATCAGTCTCCCGGTCAAACTCCGGAGGGGATACTTTGTGTATTCGCCTTTTATACACACACACACAGGATGGGGCAAAGATAGGTTTACAGTGTTTGTATGGAAAATAATACAATAATAAAAGAATAAACTGTTTCATGTACTTACCACTGTAAACCTACTTTTGCCCCACCCTGTATATATTTTTTGTAGATGAGGAAATAGGCTCAGAGAGGTTAGCTAACATACCTAAGGTCACACAGCTAGTAAAAGGGTGGGCTGGAGTTAGAATAATAATAACAGACATTTATTGGCTTGTGACCCAAAGTTTTAGGCTAAGTGTTTGAATACATGATCTCACTGAAGTTTCACAACAACCCTGTGAAGTAAGCATTATTATCCCCATTTATATGGGAGGTACAGATAGGTTTAGGAACCCAGTCAGGAATTAGATTTGCCACTGTCCAACTTCAGGGCACAAATCCTTAACCATGACTTTGACACATCCTAGAAATAGGCCACTTGTTTCCGAAACCTGGGTTCTTTTCATCAAGCCAGCCTGCCCCTGGGAGGTTACTTTTCTCCCACTCCGAGCCTCAGTTTCTTGATTTGGAACGTGGGGAATGCGAGAGAACTGGGTTTATCGAGCTCTCAGGACACACACACATTAGTTTTGGTTAATGCGATTTCTCCTAAGTGCTCGTGTGCTTTGCAGCTGTGTTTTGCTAACTGTGGGCACAACTGTTAGTAGATTACCACATTAGTTCAGTGGGTTGTGACCAGCATTTACATTTTTTTAAAATGGAAGAAAGAAATAGGATAAAAGAAAATATCAGAGTGCATTGCACTTTATTAAAGGTAAGTATTATTTTGAGAAGCTTTTATTTCAATACAAATACATGTATGTGTATGCATAAACATCAACTTATTTACAGCGATAACTGCACTTCCTACTGTGGTTTGTGATAAAAATTAAATAAAAATTGAAATACCCTGAACTAAAATGACCCCTCAAGGTCTAAGGCAGCACTGTCCAATTGAACTTCCTGTGATAAATGGAAAAGTTTCGCATCTGTACTGTCCAATAGAGTAACCACGTGTGGCTATTGGGAACTTGAAATGTGTTTAGTGTACTAAGAATTAAATTTCATTTAAAGAATTTCAGTTGAAGTAGCCACTTGTGGGTAGTGGCTACACTACTGGACAGCACAGGCCTGAGGTTCTCAGTTCCTCAACCAATTTGCGCTGGCCAGTTAAGCCTCTAAGATGCACCTCTACACTGGCACTCGGCCAGGCGATGACAGTGGGCCAGGTGATAAAATCAAAGGATGGATAATCATCGAGTTCACAGGCAGCAAGATTCTTCAGAACCTAGTTAATGTTTAATTCTAAATAAATTGCAGCACTTAAGAAAAGCAGTGTTTTTGTAGTTCTTTAATGATTTGCAGAAGAAGATTGTGCTTTGTGAGAGCTGGGAAACATATTTTAAGGAGACATTTGAGGAAGAAAATGAAGTCTTTCTTCTCCCATCTTGGCAGGGATTAGACTCGGCAGTTGGACCAGGGGCCTATGCCCAACTGTGCTGAGTACCTTTTCTGTGACGGGCAAGTGACCTCACCTCTTTGTGCCTCAGTTTCCTCTTCTGTGCAGTGCGGATAATGAGCAGTCGTGTCTCAGGCTTATTGTGAGGACTAAATGAAATCATGCCTGTGGAGTGCTTGGCACTTGGAATAATGGCAGCTAGTTCATCCCCTGGGCAAGTGACCTCACCTCTCCCTGCCTGTTTACTTCTCTCTGAAATAGGAGTGCGTGCTGTCGATGTGAGGCCAGACACTCCGAGTGCTTTGTGGAAGGGCCTTCTAAGGAAGACGTTGGCTCCTTTTCTCCCTTCTCACCTGCAGGGCAAGGCTGCTGTCTACTCTGGTATAGGTCATAGGCCGTGGGTACCCACTCCATTTTCTGGCTGTACTTGGTTCCTCCTACAGAGTCTGGCCTAGGAACAGGATGTCCTGTGAGTGTGACATGACTCAGTCCCTGCTTTCCAAGAACTTGGAAAATAGGGGAGCCAAGTGGGGCAGTTAGAGGTTATTGTTGTAGATCTCTGTGTTCCTGACTTGGAAAGGACAGGGTATAGTCTGCATCGGGAGCATCCAGTCCGGCCACCTGGAGGGGATGGGAAGGATGCTGGGCCTCGAGGGACGGAAAGAGCACAGTAAACGTAATTACACGTGATAGCTCACAGAGTTCTGCCTTATCGTGTCACCTGGCTCACCCTCTCTGCTAGGTTGAGTAAGCATTTTCTGGCAGCAATAGGATAAAGAAGGGCATTCGAGGTGGAAGGAACTTTATGTGCAAAGGCACAAAGGCTGGAAGAAGAAGTGTTGATAGCGGTGCAGATTTGAAGAGTCTGGAGGCTGGGAATCTAAGGAGCCCTAGTCAATTGTCCAGATCTGAGATGGTGGCAGTGGCTACATGGCATAGGACAGAGTGGAGAATGCCAGAGAGGGACCAATTCCAGAGATTTCAAAGCGGTAGAGTTGGCAGGACTTGGCTATTAATTGAATGCCAGGCTGAGACAGGGAGGAGTCTTAAGCTAGGCCTCTTGTTGGTCTCAGGCATTTGGACTGAGGTTGATGCTCCCAGTGAGATGGGAGATTGTGGAGGGGAACAGGTTTATATGGAGGAAAGAATGAGTTCCCTTCTGGACACTTGGGGTCTGATATGCCTGAGGGAGGGACCTCTGAGCAGTCCCATGGGCAGGCAGCTCCTCAGGTGTTCAGGAAAGAGGTCGGGCACACTGGGGAGTCAGCAACAATTCCTGCTGTGAGCATGGAAGACAAGATCATTATTTCATCTCTCACAACTCTGGCTGAGCTGGACGGATCCCACTGCAAAGCTGAAGCTCTTACCAGCCGCAGAACTACCCAGGGCTCCTGGTCCTAGCCCTGTTCATCTGGCCAAAGGTCTCAACTCAGGGACATCTGCGATATATGGGTGGGTGTGCAGTGGGAGAGGAGTGTGGACAAGCCAGCTTCAGAACCAGGTAGAACCTGTTAGCTATTCATATGGTTATTGTCGTTCAGGACGTGAGATCTGAAGACAGGAGGGAAGCACTGGGTTCTGGGCTAGGGAAGGGACAGCCTGAGATTCCCTTCTATTCATCTTGCTCACTGCTCTTTCCTTGCCCAGACCTATGCAGAGATGGACCCTACAACAGCAGCTTTGGAGAAAGAACACGAGGCGGTAAGCAGGGCCAGGGGCCTGACTGCGGGCTCCCCCTCTCCCCTGCTCTCCTTGCTCTAACCGAGCCATCCACTGCCCCCCACAGATCACCAAGGTGAAGTATGTGGACAAGATCCACATCGGGAACTACGAAATCGATGCCTGGTACTTCTCACCGTTCCCCGAAGACTATGGGAAGCAGCCCAAGCTCTGGCTCTGCGAGTACTGCCTCAAGTACATGAAGTATGAGAAGAGCTACCGCTTCCACCTGGTGAGGCGCTGACACCGTGGCACCGGGAGAGCCACACGTTCAGAGCAGAGGACAGGGAAAAGCTGCCCGTGGGGGAGAGACCCGGTTCCTGCCTGGCTGTGTCTTTGCTGGAGTGACTTAGGCCAACTTGCCCCTCCTCAGACCTCAGCGTCCTCTTCTGCGGAATGGGGCCGGCAATCCCTGCCCTTACACCTCCCTTGGATCCCTTGCCCTGCACATGTGTACCAAAGCCGCTCAGTGCCAGGTTCCTCGGTGCAAAAGCAGAAGCAAGCACAGCCCCCAAGCGATGGGACTGGGAGGTGTTGGTACATGCAGGCTGCCAGGGGGGTCATCTCATCATTCATGCAGCGGCATGTTTCCCAAAGAGTGGAATCTGAGGCAAATGTATACAGTTTAGGAAACACCATTGCCAGGGATCAGGGCCCTCCAGAGGCCTCTAGAGCCAGGCCGACCTGGACTCAAGCCATCCAGCTGTGTGTTGCTCAAGCCACTTCATAGCCCCTGTGTGCCTTAGGCTCGGTCTCCTCAGGTGGGTGAATTACTTGATGTGGGTGAAATGTTGAGCTCAGGATCTACATATAGGGAAACCGAGAAGCAGAGATCGGCTGCAAGCCACGTGGGGCAGAATGAAGGGCACCTGGCAGGAAACCTCGGGGTCTCAAGCCTCCCTCTTCCCACCCAACCCCAGGGCCAGTGTCAGTGGCGGCAGCCCCCAGGAAAGGAGATCTACCGCAAGAGCAACATCTCTGTGTACGAGGTGGATGGCAAAGACCACAAGGTGAGCTGGGCGGTCACGGTGCTGGGTGTGGGAGGTGGGAGCACTGGCACCGCTGGACAGCCTTCACTGTCATCAGGACAGAGGCCAGCCTTAGGGTGAGCAGCTCCACCAGGAAGAGGCCTGAGGGTCACACGCGGCCTGGCACTTGGCCTGTGGCCGGTGCTTGGTCAACATGTGGGCCTGCCGTGCCAGCCTTGGGGACTGGTGCTCCTCTCCCTGAGGACTTCTCTGCTGATGGGGTGGTTGAGGTTTGAAGTAAAGATTGTCGTGCCTGAGGCTGTCTCTAGAAGGCTTTCTCTTTCTGCCTGAAGAAAAGGTGTTTGGTTTCCCCAGGAGGGACCTGCTTTGTGGAAGGGTTCCTGCCAGAGCTCTGTGGCTCTGCTGGCCCAGTTCCTTGTTCCTGGTGAACGGACTTGAATGGGGCAGGGTGGGGCGTTGGGCTCTGCTTTCCTGTTGAGAACCTGGCCTTTGCCTGGTCAGTCTGGGAAGGTTGCACCAAATGTCCCATTTCCCGTGGAAGAGCAGTTAATGAAGACAAACTCTGAGTGGCTCCTGGCTTCAGATGACCCCGTCACTTCCTATCTGACCTTAGACAAATTACTTAACATTGTTTGTTCCTGTTTCCTCATCTATACGACAGGAGTCATGACCATATTTACCTAATAGGGCTGTTGGTGGAATAACTGAGATAGCAATGTCACATACTTAGCACGGTACTTGGCACCAAGTAGGTGCTTAGTAATGGGCCTTCGTTATTACTGGTGACGGTGGTGGCTCAGTCAGCCTTGTGATAATTGCTTCGGGAAGGAATATCCACACTGAGCCTTGCCCGCTGCTCTGCCTTGAGCAGCAACAGGGGGAGTGGCAGAAAGGGCTCCATAGGAGACATGGGCATTCCTGTTGGCTCTACCCTCTGCCAGCTTTGAGGTCTCAGGCAAGCACTTCCCCTCCCAGAGCCTCAGTTTTCTTTTAAGTAAATGGGACTAGCCATGCTGGGCTTACACAGTTGTTGGGTCAAATGAGAGTGGATATAAAAGGTGTCATACACCAGAGGGACCCTTGATCTGTGCCATGAAGCCAACCTGAAGGTCCCATTGTTCCTCCTGATGTTGGTCTCCGGCGGGGTGGGTGTCTGGGCCTGCAGCAGGTGAGGCTCGGAGAAGAGCATGGCCAAGCGGGCAGACTGCAGGCTGCGCAGTCAGGCTCGAGGCCCTCCACTCAGCAAATATTTAACAAGCACTTGGCTTCATGCTTAGCCTTGTGCTCGGTGCTGGGGACATAGCCTTGAATAACACGGGCCTGAACTGCGTATGCCCTCTTACCTGCGGAAATTGTGTGCTACTGTTCTGGTGAGTGGGCACTTCCCACCGGCCTGGCACGGGCTGTTCTGTGGAGCCTGGCATTTGCAGAGCAGGGTGGCAGCTCCTGTCCAGGCCTCAATGGGCTCATTGTACTTGCTTCCTGAGTCTTCTGCTCCTCCTACCCCTCAGATTTACTGTCAGAACCTGTGTCTTCTGGCCAAGCTTTTCCTGGACCACAAAACATTGTACTTCGACGTCGAGCCCTTTGTCTTTTATATCTTGACTGAGGTGGACAGACAGGGGGCCCACATCGTCGGCTACTTCTCAAAGGTACTGGGTCGGGAAGCTGAGGTTGAGGGAGGGCAGTGAGTATGAACTGGAGCAGGGGCCGAGCTCCCCCAGAGTCCTGACCTCGCCCCTGCAGGAGAAGGAGTCTCCAGATGGAAACAATGTGGCCTGCATCCTGACCCTGCCTCCCTACCAGCGCCGCGGCTACGGAAAGTTCCTCATTGCTTTCAGTGAGTGGCTCCCGCTCTGTCCAGCAAGGGGCCCCTGTGGCGGAGGCGAGTACTAGGGTGGTGGGTTTTCAGGACCTTCTGTCTCCCCTGCCAGGCTACGAGCTGTCCAAGCTGGAGAGCACCGTAGGCTCCCCTGAGAAGCCCCTGTCCGACCTGGGCAAGCTCAGCTACCGCAGCTACTGGTCGTGGGTCCTGCTGGAGATTCTGCGAGACTTCCGCGGCACGCTGTCCATCAAGGACCTGAGGTGAGGGCCCTGGGCCTCGCCCTGTCATCTCCTGAGGGAGGCTTCCCGGAGTTCTCCAGGAGGGAAGGGTTCTCCTAAGATTGGCCGTGATCCTGTCTCCTTGTCCCCTCTTGCTGTCCCAGCCAGACCCCACAGGGACCTCCCAGCATCTGCTCCAATCCCTTTCTGCAGCCAGATGACCAGCATCACGCAGAATGACATCATCAGCACCTTACAGTCCCTCAACATGGTCAAGTACTGGAAAGGCCAGCATGTCATCTGTGTCACACCCAAGCTAGTCGAGGAGCACCTCAAAAGTGCTCAGTATAAGAAACCACCCATAACAGGTAGGTGGGGGGCGCCTGCGTGTGTGTGGTAGGGGTAGGTGTAAGGACAACTGGGAGCCATAGCTCCTTTTGCTGTCGCATGATCCTAAACCAGTCTGACCAGCTTCCAGGACCAAAGCCTGGGGCAGGCTACTCATGCCTGGGCTTCCCTGCCCCCTCCCCAGGATCAAGCCTGCCCTTGTTCTCACCTGGCGAAACCTGGCCGAGGCCCAGAGGCCCAGCCCTGCCTCTCATGTCTCTTCTCCCCACAGTGGACTCTGTTTGCCTCAAGTGGGCACCCCCCAAGCACAAGCAAGTCAAACTCTCCAAGAAGTGAGTGGCCTGTGCCCTGCTGCTGGACCTGTGGCTCCTCTCCCCCAGCCTGTAAATATGTACAGCCTGTTTCATCGTTTTTTAAAATAAAGTAAGTTCTGCCGGTGGCTCTGGACTTTGGAGGCGGGAAGAAAAGGCCAAGAGCTGATGTTCTTCATGGCATGTCACACACACAGCCAGTTATGCTCAAAACATTTTATTCCTTCTTGTTCCTTCTACCCTCTGCCAGATCCAAGCTCGAGCCCAGTTCCGGTGGGGGCTCAGTCCTCCGGAGTCCAGAAATCAGGGCGCAGTGGGGGCTTGGCAGCCAATGGGGCAAGATTGGGGCCTTTTTTGTCCTTGGAAACATGCTGCTCAGAGGCAGCTCCAACCCAGAAGACAACAGGAGGGCAAAGTGATGGGGCTCATCAGGCAGAGCGTGTCGGGCACGGGATCCAGCCCGTCAGCAGCAGTCAGGTGGGCAGCTGCCCAGTCCTCCAGAAACATAAGAGCCAGGGCCCATTTCCTAAGGCTCCTTGGGAGCTCCATAGGAGCCCAACCAATAGGCTTGTGGACAGCTGGTGGCCAGAGGTTCTAGCCAGTAGCACAGGCAGTAAAACTGGCTCTGGGTTAAAGTCCCAAAGAATAAACCCAGGAGTGGGGGCTCAAAGGCCATGATGGTCCCTGAGCTCCTACAGGGTCCTGGGAGGAAGGAGTGACTAGAGCCTCAGGCCCACACAGTGTCAAGGAGGGGCCAGGTCCATTCCTGGGAACAGGCGTCCGTCCTTGTGTACAATAGGGCAGTTCTGGAAACAGGGTCAACCCCCGGGTGAGTAGCTCAGTGCTCCCACCATGGCTAGAGGAGGCCCAGGATCAGGGCTAGTGATAGCAAAAGGGTGAGCCCCAACAAACCCCGGCCTGGAGCAGAGCTGAAGGCCACGTGGCTTCTGCAGAGGTGGATGTCTGGCTGGGACTCCTGGAGCGGGGTGACCACCTGAGGCTGGAGCTCCGCTACATGGTGGTGAATCCAGGAGGCATAGCTGGAGGTCAGCGTGTACACGCCAGGCCTGTTGGGGGCCCCACAGGCATCACCCCAGCTCACAATGCCTGCCAGGTACCAGAGGCCCCCAGCAGGGCAGGAGAGTGGGCCCCCAGAATCACCCTGAGGAGAAAAGCCATACAACAGCTGTCAGGACCAGGCCCCAGGCCTCGAGTCACCCATGCCAGCCCTCATTTCCCCAGATTCATTTGTCCCACTGGACCCCTTGCATTTACCTGGCAGGCATCCTTGCCCCCCTCTACATAGCCAGCACACACCATGTCCTGCTGGATAGAGTGGGGCTCATTAGGCTTGGCATTGAGGTTGTACAAGCAGTTACATGTCTCCCGACTGATCAGTGGCACCTCAAGTTGCTGTAGTATCCTGGGGGCCTGGAGGCTCACTGTGGGGGCAAAAGATGCTTAGCCAGGGCCTCCGACCCTGAGTCAGGCTCCCTCCTGCCTCTAGACATCAGTGCCCACCTCACCTGAGGGGGCCACGTGGCCCCATCCAGTGACAGTGCATTGGAGGCCATTGGGGAAGGAGGCGTTGGCTGCAGGGAGGCAGATGGGCCGGATGTAGCGGGAGAAGGTGATGGGGCTGCTGAGACGGAGGAGTGCGATGTCCCCCTGGGAGCCCTCATGGCGGTAGCTGGGGTGGGAAATGACCTTTTCCACGGTGCGAACCTCGGCCGCAGGGGTGTAGGAGTCCAGCTGGTGGGCCCCTAGCTTTACTTCGTAGTCATCCTTGTGGTGCTCCCTGCAAACAGGGAGGACAAAGGCTGGGACCCAGGAGACCTGGCTCCTTGATCCCTGTGGCATCCAACCCCAGATTCTGATCCCAGCAAAGGACTTTTTGCATCCCAAACTGTGCCCTAGTTTTATCCTGTGACTTGTGACCTCTGACCTTCATTCCTGACTTATCTTTCAGATTTCATTGATAACCCTAGACCCAATCCAAGAACCCCAACCTCTTATCTAAACTGATCCCTGAACTTTGACCTCCAGGCTACCTTAGGCATCCCCACCTTGCCCCAACCCAGTTGGTACCTTGGAAAGCAGTGGGCAGCCGACAGTACCCACTGCTCAGACACGAGAGAACCGCCACACACGTGAATGCCATCAAAGAGGATGCTGACCTGCCAGGGCCACTGGCCAGGGGTTGCACTGTTACCACCTGTGATGCGTGCTTGGGAGGCCACACCGCAAGAGGCTGCCCAGGGAGGGAGGAAGGGGAGGGGGTCAGGCCCTTCTGGGTCCCCCATACCTTGTTCTTAGCCCTGCCACTCCCAATGAAGCCCAGGAGATCTGGTTTGGAGCCTGGGAAGTGAGTTCACAGAAGCCGGCCACCCTTTTGTCCCCACTCACTGCTTACCAGGCACGGTCAGTTTTGCCACCTTGACCCATTCCCTCATTCAGGTCTCTTACAGCTTGCTTGCTTCCTTCCTTCCTTCCTTCCTGGACTTTGCCTCCTATCCAGTCCAGCCCTTATAAGTCTGAAGACCTTTATAAACGGAAATCTGGCCAGGTGACACCCCCTTAAATCCTTCCCTGGTTTCACACTGCCCTTAAGATATATCTCAGACCTCCCAAGACAGTGCCATCCACCTGGACACTTCCTGTCATAGACTTGGAAGCACTTATTCACCTATGGAACTTCGCTCTTCTAGGTCACTACCTAGAATTCCTTTCCTCAGCCCTACTTTGCTCGGCAAATTTCCATTTGCCTATGGCAGCCCCTCCTTGGCCTGCCCTGACCTGCTGCCTGAGTCAGGCAGTGCACAGAGCTCCCGGGCTGTGCTTCCCTGATACTGCCCCGTCACTGCACAGCCCGGCACTCCCCGCGGCCCAGTGACCGCGCGGGGCTGGGCACAAAGATGGAGCTGTGGATGCGGCTACTGAACAAAGGAACAGAACAACTGGCTCCCACCGCCTGAAGGCCACCCTGCCCTCACTGAGGCCAGCAGTTTGGAACAAGACCCAACTGCCCTTCACAAAGTCACCTTCCCAGGAGCAGAGAAAACTGCCCAGCCAGGCTCCTCCTCTCGTAATAATGACAATAGCTGCTACTTAGGAACTTTAAACAACGTGAGGCCCGAAGGGGCTTTCACTTCCTTTATCTTCAGTCCTGCTCATGCAGCCCCAGGAGATAAACTCCATCAGCTTCATCTCAGAGGTGAGCAGTGCGCCAAGCACACAGCAGTAAGTGGGGAAGCCGGGACTCAGAGTCTGGTGACCTGCTTTTGAAGGAAGGAGACCTTTGGCTTGTTTCCCTCAAAACAACTCCAGCTCTGACAGGCCGTGCCACTCACTGGCTGTGCGCCTTCCGGCACATCACTTCTCCGCACTTCGGTTTCTGTATCTGTAGAACTCGGGCTACCATCCCCGTCTCACAGAGCTATTGCGGGACTTAAGACATTACGGTGCGTGAGACAGCCTGGCAGAGAGGTCAGGCACTCATAAACACGCCATGGGAATCTGAGTCTGTGCCCTCTTCTTCCTCTCCCCCTCCCCCTCCCCCCACTCCACCCCCACCCCCGACAAGCCTCACCTTCGGGCCCGGCCCCCTCGGCTCCTGGAAGGCAAGAAAACGAGGGAGGGGTGAGCGGAAAGGCCCGGGTTCCCAGACTTCTGAGCACCTGCCACTTGTCAGGAGAGCTGCCCATCCCCCCAGGAAGTCCAAGCGGAGGGAAGAGAGAAGCCAAGAGCTAGGGCGCGGGGTCTCTTGAGCCAGGATAACCCCTCCCCATGCCCTCTGCCCGTTCAACTCACCCAGCCCGGACCGGAATAATCCAAGCAAAAGCAGAATGGCAGCGGCCTCCAGCCGCCTAGGCCCCAGGCCTGCCCTCTGGGCCATGACCCGGGGTGAGGGCCCCTGGGGAGCCACCAGACACCCAAGGGAAGGGACCTAGGGCTGGATTCGAAGGCAAGATTCAGGCGTCGGGCCCAAAGGGAAGGAAGGGCTGCTGGAATCCGCGCGGGGAAGGTCGGAGCAGGTGTCCCAGGCTGGCTCCAAGGGCAGGGCGCGGACACCGAGGAGACGACGGCAATCCAGCCCTCAGAGAGGACACGTCTCCAGCACTGCCTGGCTGCGCAGAAAGCCGCAGGTGGCAGCTCCTGGGAGAAAAGCGCCTACCTGCCCGCCCCTCCCCTGGCCCCGCCCTCCCGGCTCGGCTCTGCCCGCTTCCCGCCGCTGACGTCCCTATCGCCCAGACTCCCAGGTGAGTGTGTGCCTGCGCGGAAGCGTGCGCGCTTGGGGCGGCGGATCCCCCGGAGAGCAGCCCCAGGCAGGGATGGAAACTGGAATGTCCAATGGCCCAGCTCCCTGGAGGGCCACAGTGCTGTTGGCCCAGGTCTGTCAGGTCTCCCGAACCAGTTATGCCTCCCGGGGCTTGGCTCAGCCTTGTTGTCCGGGGGCCAGAGGCGCTCCTACCCTCTTCCCTTCTTAGGCCCCGTCTCTGAGCCTAAGAACCTGGGTTTGCCACAGGCTAGGGCCGGTCCAGGCCCTTCTGTCAAGCCGGCAGCCTCATCTGTGTGCGGTGAGCGTGTCTGGCTGTGCCAATCATCTCACAAATATTTACTGAGTGCCTACTCTGTTCCAGGCACAGGAGACAAAACAGACACCGTCCCTGCCTTCCCTGAACTCACTCTGAAGTAGGGATGACAGAGGACACAAATCATCACAAGGAATTATAGAATAATTTAAAACTAGCAACCGTGGCACAGAAGGGAGAATGGGGGATCCGGGAGCCGTTTCCAGGAGCTTGACATTGGCTGGCATCAAGAAGGGCTCCTCAAGGAAGTGCCTTCAGAACTGAGACCCAGAGAGGTTAGGGAAGAGTGTTCACAAGGCAAAGGTGGGGCAGAGTGGCTCAGGTGAAGCATCTGCAGGCGGAGGGCGCAGGAGCTACAGGCTCAGGCAAAGAAGACCCCGTGACTGGTCAGGTGACTGGTCAGGGGGTGGGCACTTCCTCTGTGAGTGCAGGAGTCTGGGCGATTGGCTTCAAAGTTCAGAGAAACAGGGCCCCACTTCCCCACCTGCCTTCCATAGGCTAGGTGTCTGGACCTGTAAGCCAAGGCTTCAGGCCCTTGAGGGCAGGGAATTCCTGGAGTGATGAGAGGACCTAGGCCGACTGAAGGGTCTAAGCTGGGGAGGGGCAAGACATTAGGCATTGTGGGTGTATTTGGGTAGATATTAAATGAGGTATATTAAATGTTTGTGGGGATCTCTAGCTGGTCTGGCTCAGTGGATAGAGTGTCAGCCTGCGGACTGAAGGGTCCTAGGTTTGTTTCCTGTCAAGGGCACATGCCTGGGTTGCGGGCTCAATCCTCAGTGTGGGGCGTGCAGGAAGCAGCTCATCAATGATTCTCTCTCATCATTGATATTTCTATCTCCCTCTTCCTTCCTCTCTGAAATCAATAAAAAAATATATTTTAAAAAATGTTTGTGGGGAATGGCATATGGGTGACTGACTGAGTATGGGGAGCGAGTGGGGCTGTACATCCCTATGGAGATTCAAGGGAATATTCTATCTGGGACCTGGCAGCTAAAGATCAGCCTGGCCTTTGGACCTCTGCCCATCTCCTCAGACCCCCAAGGAGAACCTCCAGCTGCCCTTTAAGTGTCCCCTCCCCCATCCTCTACCTACTCAACCAGAGATTTGACTCCAGCCCCAGAGGTGACCCCTCTGCTACCTTCATCCTCTGGTTTCCACCGCAAGTACGTCCCTTCCCCAGGTCCCCATTTGCTTTTTTTCTGTGCTCAAACTTCACCTCTATGGCCCTTTCCTGATCCCCAGCCAGGGGTGTCCATGTGTGTCCCCACTATATAGGGAGCACTTCGAGGGTTTTCCCTCAGGCCCTAGCTGTGCCATGACTTAGCAGTTAGCAGGGAACGTGCCTGCATTAATGCAGGGAGGTGAACCAAGAAGTGGTGGGTGAGGTGGAGGGATGTATATACAAGGATGGTGATGGGCCTCAAACCCCGAGAGCACTGGGCCGGATGTGACAGCGTGGACCCTTGAAGGGCATGGGGGTCCTGGGGACACTGGAGGCGTCTATTTGGGGAGATCATTCATCAGGGTGTGTAGATGGGGGTGGCTCTCTGTGGGTATAGGATATTGTAGACAGACCCTGGACTCCCAGACTCATGGACCCTTCCTTCTGTGACCCTCACCCTGAGTCCTTCTTACTCTGGGGGGAGGGGCAACAGGGTCAGAGCTAGGGCTGAGGTGTCCAGCAGGTGTTGGGGATGCTGATTCCTTTGGGGAGGTGACACACACCCAGCTGGCCGCCCAACCTCCCCCACCCTGGGGCAGGAATGAGGGACAGCTGCCACGTTATCAGGGACACATTTCCTGGGAGCCCAAGGCCTGACTCACGGAAGCTCAAGAGGGAGGGGCCCTTTGGCTTCCCTCTAGCCCCCCACCTGCCCTCAGCAATGCCACAGGGCCACGTGTCTTTGTTTACACCTTTATTGCCGGCTCATGCCGTCCCCAAGGATTCCAGGGCACAAAATATCCCGGCACTGAGGCCCAATTATCTGAAGCCATTGCAGTCTAGGTGGGTGGGGAGCTCTGGATGTTCTGGTAAAGGGACTGAAAGCCGGTTAAGTCACATTCCAACCCCACTGGGAAGGAAGTAGAGGGCTGGAGGGGGTGGGGAAGGAGGAGGGGAGGTGGTCTGGGGAGCCAGACCCCTCAGCCCTGAATCAGGGGGGTCAGTAGTAGCAGCAGGAACAGAGCAGCAGGAGGGGAGCCTGAGGCCCCAGCCATGTCCAGAGGACAGAGGTAGCTGCCTTCAGGGGGCCAGTAGGGGGAGCCACTGGGGGGCAAGAAATGAGCCTCTCCCACTATCTGGGAGATCCAGGCCTCTTCAGGGCCAATGGTGGCAAACAGCTCCCGGCTCCCTCTAACAGCCATGCCCACAAGGACCCAGGAGCCTCCCTCACTCTGGCACAGGAGCGGAGGTGCGGAGGTCACCTGCGGAGTAAAAGCCAAGGCCAAAGGGTCTCTTCCCCTTCCTCCAGGTCCCCTGCACCTTCTCCGAGGGCCCAGCCCAAAGCTCTGCTTGTCTCCATCCTTAGGCAGCCAGAGCCCTGGTCGCTCTCCAAGGTCCAACCAGGAAACACTACTTCTACCCATTTCAGGCCCAGCTCCCAAGAGTTTTAACCCTGCTCTCTCCCCAGGGTCTAGCTGCCCAGCCCTGCCTGACCCCTCCCTGGACCAGGACACCCAGGCCCCTGTACCTCACACCTGTCTTCCTGCCCCTCTGCATACAGGACACAGAGAGTCCCGGGGGGCAGAATACCCTCATGGAGGCAGTGACAGAGTCGTGGTGTCAAGATGGAGACAGCAGCAGCCACAGGGACTAGAGAGGAAAGAAGGTTGTCCCCGGGATGCTGGCCTCTAGTCACTTCTCACCCCCGGGACCCAGGGCTCTCACCTCGGTCCTGGGGGTCCTTCCAGCCCAGCACCCAGCAGCTGCTTCCCAGGGGGACACCCCCTGTGTGAAGGCAGATAGACAAGGCTGAAGGGGAGGGCTCCACCCGGGAGCTCAGCTCTAGGAGGGCCAGAGGGGGCCGAAGTCCCAGGTGCCGGGGCAGGCGGATGCTGATGACCGACCGGGACACCTGGTGGCCCTGTGGGAGGGGGCTGGCCCCGGTCCGGCCCAGGTACACTTCAATGTAAGGCACTGTTGTAGAGCCTGGCCTGTTGGAACAAGGCCCATGGTTACCTCCTGCCCGCCCTCCACCTGCATCCCCCTCCTGGTAAAGTCTTTCCCAGCCCAGGGGAAAGGGTGGAATGAATCTCCGTAGTTATTCCACTAACTCCTTTATTATTGCTCCTCCTAAATCTCTCTCCTGTCTCAAAACCCTTCACAGAAGCTGCCCTGTGCTCTAAGAGCCCTCAAGGGGGACTACCCCACAACTGCAAGAATCTTTGGCCCTCGCCCAATTTCCCCATCGCCCAGGAGTGGGTGAGACCCACCTGAGGACACAGTGAGTGGCTGCCAGGACCCAGCCGGGGGCCACGAGGATCCCCGCGCAGACGCGACCGCCAGCCACATGCACCTCTGCCAGCCAGGGCCACAGGAGCCCGGCCGGGGCCGGCTCTCGCCGCAGGCCACAGGCTAGGGAGAGGAGGTGACGCCTCAGCGGAGGTCTCACAGCTGACCCCTGAAGCCTCTGCCATGGATCTAAGCACCCCCAAGCCCCAAGCCCCAAAGGCCTCCTCACCACCATGTTCTGTGTGGGGGGGACAAGTGTGCGTCTCAGTCTCCTCCCCCTCGGGGCCCCAGTCCCAGGTCAGCTGGTCCTCGAGGTAGGCCCCCCGAGTCACATGGCTGATCCATGGGCCGTGGGTCTGAAGAGGGTAGAAGGCTCTGGGGCGCAGGCAGCCACTGGAGGAGTCTCTGATTCCAGCCAGGAACCAGGTCCCCTCCTCCCGGCACAAAAGGCTCCAACCGGAGTCGTTCTGCAGCAAGAGAGTGTGCGTTACCAACCGCTGCGTGCGCGCGCGTGGGTGTGTGCGTGTGCGTGTACGAGAGAGCTGATGAGAGGGTATCAAAGGGCTTTCCTCCAGGCCAGGCTCCGTAATAATCTGTAGTCAGTCGTACTTAGGATTCCTTTAGATCCAGGGGTAGCGAGAAAGCCCGACGGAGCCCAGAGCTCGCCTCAGGACTCTCCCCAAGCGCCCCCAGGGCCAGGCTCCGCCCCCAGCGCGGCTGGCTCCGCCCCCAGCGCGGCTGGCCCCGCCTTACCCGGTCCCCGGGGAGCGCTCCGCCTCTTTCCCAGTCTTTCTCAGGCTCCGCCCCTCACCTCCGCCCCGCCCCCCGCCTCTCCGAGTCCCAATCAGACACGCAGGCCCCGCCCCCGCCGCTAACCCAACAGCGGCCGGCCTCCTCCTCCTCCTGGTAGGCGGGGCAGAGCGCATGCGGCGGGTCTCCCGGCGGCGGCACTGTCGCCCCCTGGCGGCCGTACAAGCAGTGACACCACCAGCCGCCCAACAGCTCCGCCTCAAGCAGCACATTCGGGCCGGGCGCGGGCCCTGGGAGAGAAAAAGGAAGGAGTCCGCGCGCGGGGCAGCAGGGCCTGGCGCCCCCGCACCATGCGCCCCTGCTCACCGCCGCGGCCCCAGCGAGCCAGGCGGCAGCGGCTCCCGGGCAGGAAATAGTGTTCTGGGCGAGGCAGGCACACCGGCCGCGGGGCGGCGCTCAGGTTCACGGGCGCGCGCAGCTGCAGCAGCGCCAGGTCCGCCGCGTCGTCCCGGGAAGCGTTCCGGTGCGGTACGAGGCGCGCCACCTGCTCCGCGTGCGGCCGCGAGGGCAGCAGCACGCGCCAGCTGTGCAGGTCGCGGGGCGGGCGGTCCGAGCTGCTGGGGCTGCGGGATGGGGAGACTGGGGACGTGGGCTGGATTCCGCACACGGGGCGCGAAGCCTCTCACCCCTGACCTGGCTCCATGGCTAGGATTTTGTATCCCCCGCCTGAACACTGTGCACTCGGACTCCACATCCCGGATGGAACTTATACTAACCCCTCCACTCGCTCCCGATAGACCAGGACCCCACTTTGTGAGTTGGATCCTCCACCTCCCAAGGAGAAGCCCCTCCCGCACTGCAGACTGAGGCTTCCCCCAGCCCCCACTCAGGACAGGTGCTAGGTATGTCTCAGGCCGGTGCGGGGAGGGGCGGGATTCTGGCTGAGACGCGGGTTTTCACTCACTCCAGAAAGCAGCTGGCAGGTGCCAAGACCCAGCTTTCCGACACCAGCGCCCCATGGCAGGGTCTGTATCCCGGCACCATCACCTGAGCCTCCCAGGGCCAGGCCCCTGGCCGCGGGGCCTTCCCACACTCTGCGGGTGGGAGGCCTGGGTCAGCGGGCCTCTGGACCCCCAGCACTTCCCGCCCAACTCAAATCTCCCCTGTTCAGTGGACATCCAGGGGTCCTACCCCCTCACCTGGCAGGGCGATGGTGCAGTTCTCATCCATGGGCTCCTGGGGGCCGGATGGGGGCCCCCGGGACTGCGGGGGAAAGGCAGGCCCAGGCTCTGGGCCCATCACCTTTTCCCGGATCCATGCCTCGTAGGGAGCCACCGCAGTGAAGACTCCAGGGCGGTTCCTTCGTGCACAGCCAAAGCCAAAGCTGGTGATTCCCGCCAGGAACCACCGCCCTTGTTCCTCACAGACCAGGGGTCCCCCGGAGTCTCCCTGATGATAGATAGATGACTCCGCGTCAGGGGATCGGCCCAGGGACCCACCAGTGTATACTGGGCCACCTTCCAAAGGTTCTACACCTCTTCTTGTTGGACCAGCAAACAGCCACCTTCTCCTAGGAGACTGGGGCTAGGTGGTGTCTTGGCTGCGTGAGCTCCTGTATTCCCTACGACTCTAAGCGGCAGAAAGGCTGATGAGGAACGGCCAAGCCAAGAGCGCCAAACGAATGCACTAAAGGCCATGCCAGGGATACCTTCAGGGAGACACTCAGAGCCAAATGATTTGTGTTCAATGAATAGTTCAAATAAATGCTGTTTTGGGTTTCTAAGATCACCCAGTTGTTAAAGCGAATCAGAGGTGCCAGCGTTTAGGAGGCTGTTAAAAATAGAAATCTAAAAGCAGCAGGAAGACAGGAGGAAGGACTACAATGAACAGACACTACAGGGGTTGTGGGCATTTTGTGCTTAGAGGAATTGTCCCTAAAACATCTCTATAGTCCATGACAGGTATCTCTGTGACCTGAACAGGGTCACCAAGAAGGCTCAGAATCCTCTACAACTGTGCTGTCCAGCATGGTAGACACTAAATAAAATTAAACTCGGCCAGTATGGCTCAGTGGTTGAGTGTTGACCTGTGAGCCAGGAGGTCAGGGTTCAATTCCAAGTCAGGGCACAGGCCTGGGTTGCAGGCTCGATCCCCAGTGAGGGGTGTGCAGGAGGCAGCCAATCAATTATTCCTTCTCATCATTGATGTTTCTATCCCTCCCTCTCCCTTCCTCTCTGAAATCAATAAAAATATATTAAAAAATAAAATTAAAGGTTTAATTCCTCAGTTACACTCATCATATTTCAGATGTTTTTCAAATGTTCAGTGGACAATGTGGCTAGTGACCACTACCCTGGACAGTGCAAATACAGAATATTTCCATCACCATAGGAAGCTCTGTTGGACAGCGCTGGTCCAGAGGGATTTGAATTGTTTGCAATCCTGCTCAAGAAGGCGGAGGATCATGCCCATAGGTCACAGAGCTTCATCATTGGGAGGAACCCTGAAGACCATCTAGCTTGAATCCCCATTGCCACCACCCAGGCTGAGTACCCTAAAAACGTGTGTGATTTGAGAAAGGTCTGTGGGGAGAATAGTTATCACATTACTATATTTTGGCCTTCAGAAGGTGATCTGAAAAATTCCCTTCTGGGACGGATTAATTCATTTTTAAAGCTAACTATTGATTGAGTATATGCTAAAAGGTGCCATGCTCTGTTCTACATCCTCACCTCAGGAATGGCCCCGTCAAGCACCCAGTGAGAGCTGGGAAGTGGGATTATAATAATGTTAGTAGCTGATACTTATTGAGCTCTTATTAAGGACCACATACTGTTCTAAGTGCTCTTACTTGTACAAATTAATGTAATCATCCTAACCGCACTATGAGGTAGGAAACACTATCATCTCTGTCTTCCAGATAAGAAAGTCTGGACGTGAGGTTAAATAACTTGGTCAAGGTGCCCGATGGGTGTGTCTCAGTGGTTGAGCGTCAACCTATGAACCAGGAGGTCACGGTTCCATTCCTGTGTCAGGGCACATGCCTGCGTTTCAGGTTGGGTCCCCAGTGGAGGGGTGTGCAGGAGGCAGCCGATCAATGATTCTCTCTTATCATTGATGTTTCTCTCTCCCTCTCCCTTCTTCTCTGAAATCAATAAAAAGATATTTAAATAACTTGGCCAAAGTTACACAGCTAATATGTGGTGGTTCCCTGCTTCAAGCCAGGCAGACTCACTCCAGAGTCTGGCACGTAACCACTGCACGTACTGCCATAAACAACAGTGCCCCCCGTTGAGCCCCAAGTTCTGTCTAGTTATAATGTTCACATCAATCCCACCTATTGGCATCTTGCCCTCTTTTTGCAGGTAAGGCTCAGAGATATGAGAGAGATGGCACTTGTCTGCTTCTCACACTGCTTCCTAGTGGTTACTTGTCAGGCAGATGCAGGGACCTGCCCTCACCTGGCAGGTGTCCTTGCGGCCCTCTGGGTAGCCAGCACACAGCATGCCTGGCAAGAGCTGGAGAGTGAGGTTGAAGGGGCCAGGCCTGCTGTAGAGACACTGACAGGCAGCTTCTCCCAGCAGCTTTAGCTCCACTTCTTGCAGCACCCAGGGGAGAGGCAGGGGGTCTGCGGGCAGAACGAGAGAGCAAATGCTGTGAGGCAGGTGTGGAATCCCCTGCTCCCCAGGGCTCAACTCTGTCCCGCCCCCCTCCCCCAGCTGCCTCCTGGACCTCTCTATCAGATGCTCAGTATTTCAGCCCACCACATCCAAAACCAGTCATCGTCTCCTGCTCCTCTCCATCCTTCTTCCTAAATCCTCACCTCCAGAGTGACCCCATCACCCGGCGAGAGCTGCCATGGATGGTTTCATACTGCACAAAGGTGCCCAGCCAACAGAGGATGGATGTGAGGGCTAAAACCGCGAAGCTCTGGGCCCTGACATGGGCTGTGTCAGTCCTGAGGACGTACCCTTTTCAACAAAGATGCCATATACACTAGATGCGGTCCTGTACCAAGTTGCCAAGCACAGAATTAGGGTGCCATCCCTGACCCTGTCTCAACTTCCCCTTCTCAGTAAGTTCTCAAGTCCAGAAAACCCATCATTTGTGACCTCTGGGCATTTTTACTGCCACTTCCCCAGTTCAGGAGGCATAAGCTTGGGCCTGGCTGATTGGCCTGGTCTCCTCGCTGACCTGTTTCCCGACCGCTCTTCACTTGTTGCTGCCAGAGAAATGTTTCTAGAGTTCCGCTCCGATCTTACCAAGGACAGCCAATGGCCCCCACTGTGTAACCCTGAGGGCTCCGTCCTTTCCGCAGGGGAACCCGCTTTCGGTGGGTTCCAGGATCCAGCAAAAGTGGGTGAGGGTGTGGACCGAGCTCCTTCCCTCCCCACCTAGCATCCCAGGCCATGAGCTGATGGCTGAGCTGTACTTAAGGGTCAGCCAGTGCTGGAAGCCGGTCCATCCTTGCTGCTTGGCACAGTCGCTGCAGGATAGAAACATCTGCACAGCATATGTTTCAAGGGACCTGGCGTATATAGCATACTGTTCTTAATATGTTTGCTCCCCTTAGCGCTGTGTGTTTTAACCAAGGTCACCTCTCCGAGAAAGGTTGTTTCCCCAGGTAGGGATTTTTCCCTGAAGTCAGGGAGGGGATGAAACGCCTTAACTAAGTGCCAGGCGGGTAGTTAATCACTTTAACTACAAACAATCATGCTTAAGCTACATAATCTTTACTCCCTGGAATGGAGATAAGAAACGCCCTAACCTTTGTAATAGAAATTGACAGGATTAAAATCAACTGGTATGAATACGGATGTAACAAGACAATAAGCAGCAGAACCTCTCTGGAGATCCAGACCAGAACTTGGCTGGAGATCCTGGCTGGAGATCCTGGCTAGGCTGCTGATCAACTGAACACTGTCTCCTTGTCCTTCCTTCTTCGCCGACTCCGTCTACACCTTTGGGGACCCCTGGACCCGCTGGGGTTGGACCCCGGCAAGCCAGGGAAGTTTAGGGATTGTCCTGGGGATCCCTGGAGCTGGAGGGGTGCTCTGGCCCCTCAGTCTGACCTTAAGACCTTCATGGCCCAGCCCCACCGCTTTAAAAAAAAATTTTTTTTTAATTTATTTCAGAGAGGAAAGTAGTGGGAGAGAATCACTGATCAGCTGCCTCCTGCACGCCCCCTACTGGGGATCAAGCCCGAAATCTGGGTATGTGCCCTGACCTACATTTGAACCATGACCTCCTGGTTCATAGGTCGGCTCAGCCACTGAGCCGGGCCATCCAGGTCAGCCCCACCAGCTTTTGCAGCCTCTGCCTCCTCTGCCCACTGCACTCCAGCCTGGCAGCCTGGCCCTTCTCCATCTACGATGCCTCACCTGGATTTCCAGCACGGCCTCCATATCACCCCACGTTCCTGTGATGCCAGCTGATGCCCTGACTGCACAAAACCTCCCCAGAAATCTCCTGCTCGGGGTGCGCGTTGTCGGGATGGCCGGGTCCACGCACACAGACTTCCTCCTGCTCAGATGGACCCTTCCTGCCACCTCCTGCCCCGATGGGGCCTCTGCAAACAGCGGCCGTGGCAGCTCCTCCCCGCGCCCCGCTCCGGAGGCCTCGGCAGGGCGCAGGCCTGACCACAGATGTGGAATTGTGGTGGGGGCCTAGCTACCACGGAAAGAACTTTCTGGATGAGGATTTACCGTCTAACGTAAGTGTTTGCTCATTTAGCTGAAAAAGCATATGTCTACCCACTTAGTGACTAGAATGTAAAGTGAGGAGGCAGGACTTTTTGCTTATGTTCATTAGCCTATTTCCAGTGCCTAACACAGTGCCAGGCACCAGGAGGTGCTCAAAAATTACCCGTTGCATCAAAGAAAGATGGACTGCCTACCTGTGCCTTGCAACCCCGCCCCGCGGCCCTCCCTCCCGAGGGCCCGCCCCTCCCCACCCACTTCCTAGGCGCTCGATCCACCCACCCGGGAGGCCCAGCGTCTCGGACACGCCCGCGGGGTCCCGCCCGCCAGCCGCCGCGCTCACCCGCCTCCTGCACGCTCCCCCAGCCGGTGGCCCAGCAGGCCGTGCCGTGCGCGAAGCGGTGCGAGGCGCGGGGCAGGCAGACGGGGCGCACGGCGGGGCCCAGCCTGGCGGGCGCGGCCAGGCGCAGCAGGGCCAGGTCGGCGCCCAGCTCCACGTCGCTGTAGTTGTCCGGCACCAGGATGGCCGCCACTGCCCGCACGTGCGCGGCGTCCGGGGGCTCGTCCTGCGAGTGCACGCCCAGCAGCACCGACCACTCGGCCGCGGGCTCCAAGCTCCCGTTCCTGCGCCGAGGCCGAGGCGGGAGGGGTTAGGTCGGCCCCATGGGGGTGGGAAAAGCAGGCACCCGCGCTGGCTGGGGCGATGGAAGCGGAGGGAGACTGCAGGTGGTGGGTTGGGCATGGGGACGACGTAATTCTGACTTGGACAGTTGGCAGCATCAGCACACTCAGAGCCAGGGCACCCGCAGGGCACCTAGCTCCGGGGGGAGGGGGGGAGGGGTGCGTGTGTGGAGGCAGCTAGTCTCCAAATTAGCTGTGCACACGGGCTCAAGCAGTTTGGCTTTTGAAGGAGGGGAGCTGGACAGGGGTGAATACTCACCACACGAAACAGTGAGCGGCGGAGAGGACCCAGGAGGGGGCGATGAGGGAGCCGCCGCAGATGTGCACCCCGCTGTGGTGCAGGCTCACCTGCCACGGCCAGCGGCCCGGCTGCGCGTCGGAGCCCCCCACTATTCTGGCAGAGGACTCAGGGCGACCACAGTCTGCAGCGGGGTACCGCGAGGTCATATCCCGTCCCTGCCCCCCACCCCGGAGGCCCCGGTAGCTTAGGACCAAGTTCCGTTCCTCACCCCACTCCAGGCTGCCGCCCTGAACAGAGAGCAAAGAGGACTGGGCACCTGCAGGTTTCCGGTCCTCTCCACCTCCCTCGTGGCCTAGCCAGCCTCAACCTCCTTTCAGACCCGAGGCCACCCTCCCGCTTCCAGCCCCTGCTCACCCAGATCTCCAGGTTCTTCCTGAGCAGGACTTGCAGCTGGGAGTCAGACGGTAAATAGAGGAAGATACTGGCGATTCCGGCCCCTGACACTGCCCAGGCCTCAGCTTCCTTCTCCACCCCCACCCGCCCGTCCTCTTCCCCAGTTCCCTGCCCTTCAGCACCCCCTGCCCCAGCACCCATGCCCCTCCCATCTTTTTGCCTTTGCACCTGACTTTCCCCAGGTCAGCGGCCTTACCTGGATCCTGGGAAGCTCCTGGGATGGGGCTGATGGCTGGAAAGAGGAAGCAGGGAGAGCTGGAGCCCTCACTCACAGCCTGCCCGCCCCACTCCTGGCTTTACACCTACTCCCTCTCCCACGGCAGCCAGGCCTCCTCGCTCCCTCCTCTCACACAGTTTCTCCCTCTTGCCGCCTCACTCCCTGGGTCCCCAGAGGGCCCCCTCCCCTTCGTCTGACACCAGACTCGCTGGGCAGAGCTCGGGGGTCCTGCTGTCCAGCTCCTCAGATGCTAGGACCCAGGCCCCTGGCAGCCATCCTCTGCCTCCTGCCGTTACCGAGGGTCACGAGTGGGAGAAGCAGGTGCGGGAACATGGCACATTTGAGTCAACTGGAGGCACAGAGCTGGGTGACGGTCTGCTCCCTGCCACAGCTCTGTCACTGTCTAGGCAGCCGGTCGCCCGTGTCTCCTGATGATCTCAGGAGCAGCCCCACCCTCCCTGGCCAGAGCCCATCTCTGGGAATCCGAGAGGATCTGGGGTTGAAGGGGGAAGTAGGGAGCTTGAAGGCCCAGCCCTGTCCCATCTCACATCTCTGGAGGCCCAGGGCGGGGGTGGGAGGCAGATGTCCTAGTTACAGGACACCTGTTGGGTGCGGGAGGGAGGAGCGGAGAGCCCTGTGGGCAAAGGCACGGAAGGACAGCCAGGGGCTGGGAGGCCAGTGCTGGTGAGGCAGGGCTACAGGTGAGAACTGGCCTTTGGGACAGGAGAGGTGGCCCCTCATTGGCTTGACTCGCCTGAGACCTCACCTCTGTTTGGGGTGCGGCCACCCTAGTGGCCCGGGCTTTTCTTCTCACACAGCTCTGGTTACTGAAGTTGCGGCCAGGTCCGGGAAGGGAGCCCTCGGGAATCCAATCCCATCCCAACAAAAGGATCACAGATTCCGGCAGGTGGGGCAGGGCACCAGATTCCGGGACGGGGCTGGGCAGGTGGGCAAGGCCGGCAAAAGACGCCACCTTTCTCGGTGTTGGAAGACGTCCTCTCAGGGGTCCTCCCACTTCCTCTGTGTGACCTCGGGAAAGTCACTCAACCCCTCAGCTTATATCGCTACAAGCCCCCTTACACATACGGCGCCCTAGCCAGCGTGGTGCGGCTGGGTGTCCTTCTGTGCACCGAAAGGTTGCCGGTTCGATTCCCAGTAGGGACATGCAGGAGGCAGCCCATCCATGTTTCTCTCTCTCCCTCCCCCTTTCTAACTAAAAATCAATTTTTTAAAATATTTTTTAACATATATTTTATTGATTTTTTACAGAGAGGAAGGGAGAGGGATAGAGAGCTAGAAACATCGATCAGCTGCCTCCTGCACACCTCCTACTGGGGATGTGCCCGCAACCAACGTACATGTCCCTGACCGGAATCGAACCTGGGACCCTTCAGTCCACAGGCCGACGCTCTATCCACTGAGCCAAACCGGTCAGGGCACTAAAAATCAATTTTAAAAAATCTTTAAAAATAAACGCCACAAATATGGAATCTCAAAAAGAAATTGAGGAGAGTTCAATGAAGGAACTATTTACAAAGGTGTAGGCAGGGTTAATGGAAACCAGCAAGGGATTGCTACCCCGCGGCTAGCAACCATGGAGACCCCTGCCTGAAGAGACAGAGAGGGAGAAGTTACTGGAACCAAGAAAGAGAGAGCGCTGCCAGGGCCAGCCAGCAGCTGTGCCTGCAGTGGAATGCAGCCTTTGTCAATCTGCACGTGCCCTGCCTGGAGTCCAACCCGTGCCCTCTGGGTTCACCGGTCAACACTGAACCACTGAGCCACACCGTCCAGGCCTTCACCTCCATGTTTGTTCTCCACCCTCCTCCCTGCCGATCTGTTCCCCCAGAGAGTGACCCTTGTGGCCACAACACGGACTCCCTGGCTTCTGGTAGGCTTCAGACATGGAAGGATCTGGTAGGCGATTAGAGGGTAGGAGGAGAATGAGATGGGGGTTTTTAGTTCCCAGTCTCTCCCTGCTTCAATAAGTGGAGCAACAAATCAATGTTTCTCTCTGTCTTTTTCTCTCTCTGAAAAAAAAAAAAAAAGAAAGAAAAGAATTATTGTCTTACATCAACAGATGAATGGGTTAGAATACTGTGGTGCATCTACACAATGGAATACTATGCTGCTGTAAAAAAGAAGGAACTCTTACCATTTGCAACAGCATGGATGGAACTGGAGAGCATTATGCTAAGTGAAATAAGCCAGTCAATGAAGGAAAAATACCACATGACCTCACTCATTTACAGATAATTAAGACCATTATAAACTGATGAACAAAAATAGATACAGAGGCAGAGCAGCATCGAACAGACTGTCAAACTACAGCGGGAAGGCCAGGGAGGATTGGGGGAGGGGTGGGTAAGAGATCAACCGAAGGACGTGTATGCATGCATATAAGCATAACCAATGGACACAAGACACTGGGGGGTAGGGGAGGTCAGGGGAAGGTCAAGGGGAGGAAACAAAAAGGAGACATATGTAATACTCTTTGTAATACTTTAAGCAATAAAAAAAAAGAATTATTGTCTTAGAGCAGCAGTTCTCAAATATAGTCTGGGAGCTCCTGGAGGGGTCCCCAAGACCCTTTCAAGGGGTGCCCAAAGCCCGAACTATTTTCATGATTTCAAGTGTGCCATGTAGGTTTTCAAAGGCTACTTGATATATAATATCCCAAAGGGCTGGGTGCAGAAGCAGAGATGAGAAACATCTGCAGGTTTCCATTAACATATAACAGATTTGTTATTTTTAAATAAATGAATAAATATTTTAAGTAGTTCTCATTTTTTCTTTTTAAAAAAGTTATCTTTATTGTTGAAAGTATTGCAAATATCCCCCCTACTTCCCCCGTTGACTCCCTCCATCCCACTCCTGCCCCTCCCAGGCTTTTTTTTCTTTTCTTAAAAAGTGTTTTTATTGGTTTTAGAGAGAGAGGATGGGAGAGGGAAAGAGAGGTAGAAACATCAACGAGAAAGACACGGACCGGCTGCCTCCCGCATGCCCATTGAGCCCGAAACCCAGGCATGTGCCCTGATTGAAATCCAACCGGCGACCTTTCAGTTCATGGGAGGACGCTCAACCAACTGAGCCACATTGGCCAGGGCAAATATTTCTCAGTTTTAACTTAAGATGCAGTAAATATTGAAGGATATAACCCACATAAGCAAAAGCTCGATGGATTCCTCCATAATTTTTAAGACTATAAGGAGGCCCCGAGACTGAAATGTTTGAGAACTAACTGATTGGAACAAGCAGTTCGCAGCGAGGGTCTCCATGGCACGCACGCCTTGCTCTAACCACCCTGCTACACACGCTCCCTGTCTTTCCTACCTTTGAGCAATGCCAGTTGGAAGAGCTGCCCAGGTAATTCCGATAGTTCCTCCACCCTAAGACACCTTGTTTAAGAATCACTGCTCCAGCCCTAACCGGTTTGGCTCAGGATAGAGTGTCGGCCTGCGGACTGAAAGGTCCCAGGTTCGATTCCAGTCAAGGGCATGTACCTTGGTTGCAGGCACATTCCCAGTGGGAGGTGTGCAGGAGGCAGCTGATCGATGTTTCTAACTCTCTATCCCTCTCCCTTCCTCTCTGTAAAAAATCAATAAAATATATTTATGAAAGAATCACTGCTCTAGCCCTAGCCGGCTTGGCTCAGTGGATAGAGTATTAGCCTGCGGACTGAAGAGTCCCAGGTTCAATTACGGCCAAGGGCACATACTTGGGTCGCAGGCTGGATCCCCAGTAGGGGGTGTGCAGGAGACAGCCAATCAACGGCCCTCTTTCATCATTGATGTTTGTGTTTTTTTTAATTTATTTGATTGAGTTTCTACAGAGAGGAAGGGAGAGGGACAGAGAGTTAGAAACATCGATGAGAGAGAAACATCGATCAGCTGCCTCCTGCACACCCCCCACTGGGGATGTGCCTGCAACCAAGGCACATGCCCCTGACCGGAACCGAACCCGGGACCCTTCAGTCAGCAGGCCGACGCTCTATCCACTAAGGCAAACCAGTCAGGGCATCATTGATGTTTTTATCTCTTTCTCCCTTCCTCTCTGAAATCAATAATATATATATATATATATATATATATATATAGAATCACTGCTCTAAGCTTCCGAACTGAAACGCAGAGAGACAAACCGGAACAGGAGTCTCTCTCTCTTCCAGGAACTCACAAAGAGGACACTTTGGTGTAATGGAATCTTCCAAAGCAGCAAAGAGCTTCGCAAGGCTGGTTTTTATAGTGCTGCTCAGTGCCAGGCAATAACACCACAATCAAACCACAGCCAATAACATAATTTTATGGGGCACGCCTCTGGGTATGAGACAACACCTGGAGACAGTTCTCTGCTGGTTCTGGCTAGTGGGAGGGGAAATATATTCTTTTTCTATTGCTGACCCAACAAAGTATCCTACACGTAGTGGCTTAAAACAACACAAGTGTAGCCCTAACTGGTTTGGCTCAGTGGATAGATCAGCCATGGGCAAACTACGGCCCACAGGCCGGATCCGGCCCATTTGAAATGAATAAAACTTAAAAAAAAAAAAAAGACCGTACCCTTTTATGTAATGATGTTTACTTTGAATTTACATTAGTTCACACAAACACTCCATCCATGCTTTCGTTCCGGCTCTCCGGTCCAGTTTAAGAACCCATTGTGGCCCTCGAGTCAAAAAGTTTGCCCACCCCTGGGCTAGAGCGTCGGCCTGTGGACTGAAAGGTTCATCTCTCATGGTTGTTTCTAACTCTCTGTCCCTCTCCCTTCTTCTCTGGAAAAAAATCAATAAAATATATTAAAAAAAAAAAACACAACCCAACACAAATGTATTCTCTTACAATTCTGAGGGTGGGAGTCTGACACTTGTCTTGCTGGGCTAACATATGGTCCCTTAGGGCCGTGTTGCTTCCTGGGGGCTCTAAGGCAGATTTCATTTCCTTGCCTTTCCCAGCGTCCACAGGCTGCTTTCATTCCTGGGCGCAGGGCCTCTTTCCTCCTTTTTTGTTTAAATATATTTTATTGATTTTTTACAGAGAGGAAGGGAGAGGGATAGAGAGTTAGAAACATCGATGAGAGAGAAACATCGATCAGCTGCCTCCTGCACATCTCCCTACTGAGGGATGTGCCCGCAACCCAGGTACATGCCCTTGGCCGGAATCGAACCTGGGACCTGCAGTCCCCAGGCCGATGCTCTACCCACAGAGCCAAACCGGCCAGGCCCTTGCCTCCTCTTCAGATGCCTCAACCTTGCATCGCTCTGACCCTTTCCTGTCTTCACATCTTTCTCTCTGACCAAAACCGAAAACGGGCTCTCTCCGTGTGGCCACTCCACCTGGTGTGGCTTCGCAATTGGCCTCCACGCGCGGAGCGGAGCGCCAGGGGGGACTGAAGAGAGCGGC